TTTTTTCTTGAGTTTTTGGACTGGTTTTGATCATAGGAAGGTGGCTGATCTTGCTGTTCCTCAAGGGTTCTTCAAGGGTAACATTCTTACTTTAGATTCCCCAATCTTGCACTAGATTTTTGCCTACCTTGCTTGCTATTTTAGACTTTGCATATAACATAGAAAAGTCTTGTTTTTATCTGCCCTAAATAGTTTCTTAAGGGTGTTTTAAGTTTTGGGGTTGTTTGATCCCTCTTAAGGCTTGTTTGGCCTTTGTTTTGTGCCATTTTGGTTGAGCTCCGGGACCATTGTGTTTGGGCCTCATCACCACTGAAATCTTGAGGAATTTCAGTGGTGAGGATGGTGCCTTGAGGTTCTAAGAAGGAGAGGGCCACCCCCTCTCCTTGTTGTCCTTGAAAAGGACCATTTTTGGCCTCTTGAGGGAGCACCTAGCTAAGCTTCATGTTGACCATGCCTTGGCTATTTTTTTGTGCTTATTATGTCATAATATGCCTCTGTTTTTTGTTGGTTTTGGTACACCATGCATGCTTAGCATACCTACCTTGTAATGCCACTTTATTGCCTTAACATGCCTTAGGTTGTAAACCATTGTTCTAACATGTTTTAGGCTTAGCTTTGTGAAGCTTTTGTGCATATTTTGCCATGTTTGAGGTCTGTCCTAGGTTGTTTGGGTCGACTTTTTCATGCTTAGTATAGCCCCTTTGCATTCCGGCTTGTTGGCCTTAAGTATGTGAGGGTATGGCATGCATTAATTGCTTTGATTTAATGGTTTGGCATCATTTGTAGCACCATTTCAGTCCCCTTAGCATGCTTGTATGCTTGCCTCGGATGTCTCTTTGATACTTTATGAGCTTGTGTTATATGCTCCATGTTTTGGTCATTGTGCATGCTTTTGAATTTGAGCCACTTCGATGCCATCTAGGGGTCCCCTTTGCATGGTCTAGGTCTGCCTTGGACCTGTTTTAAGTCCTCTTGGCCTTGTGAGGCTTGGTTGGCTTAGCCATGGTTCAAATCCCTTTGACTTGCTTCAAGTACTTGGGCCATTTATCGCATGCTTAGCCTATCTTGTTAGCTTGGTTTAGCACCATATTCTTGCATGATTTTCAGAGCTTAATGCATGTCATTTGTCCATGTTTGCATCCTCTTAAGTGTGCTTGAGAATTGCTTTTAAATGCTTGAAGTATTGGACATCCTTTGCATGCATGTGTGCGTGTGTTTTAGTCCTTCATTTTGGGCACTATGACCACTGTTTTGGGCCTAATTAGAGCTGTCCAAATCATGTTTAAATCCATCCTTTGCTTGCTTCCATGCTTACCTTGCATGTTGTTTGCATGCTTGCATGTACATCTTGCATTTCCATGTTGCATCCTTAGCTTACATGCCTAGGTTGCATTGCATCTAGCATGCATGTCTTGTTCCTTGATCTAGTGATAGGAATTGGGCTTTGGTTTGTTGGTTTGCCTTGCATTTGACATCAAAATGTGCACACTTGGTCCCTTGGGCCATCACGCATGGAAATGCGCGATTGATGGTCCGAGAACCAAGGAACATGTCCCTTTGAGTCACTAACATGATAAGAGACATGATTGGTGCATACATTGCTTGAATTGCATTGCCATGCTCTGCCTTGCCCTCTGCTGCTGTCAATTGCAGATTCTGCAGGAACTTTCTGCCGACCGGCAGTGTCCAGTGCCGACCGGCAATCCTTCCTGGGCCGATAGCTTCACCAACAGCCGGTGATCACATACCACTGCCGGTGGCCATTACACTCAGCCGGTGGTGTCTCCCAATGTCCAGGGAAGCAATCCTGAGACTTTGGCAGCCTTCAGAGAAGTATAGCAGGGAAAACAGAGGCAACCTATGCATGGCAGTGCACTTCCGAGCAAGACCCGAGCATGCGCGCATCGAACCCTCTTCCCGAGGCCCCTGTTATTACTTTTCTTGTGCTTAGTTAATTTGTTAATTAATTAGGTGATTTGTAATAATTAATTAGCTTGTAGGTTAATTATTTGTATTATTCTTTTGGTCCCTCTGAGCGAGGGCGAATATGTAATAAGTGTGGGTGCGTGTGGGTGCATGTCTTCCAATCCCCACTTCTTTCTTCCCTTTTATTTACCTGCTTATGATGGTAGATTAGGGCATGTTTAAATTAGCATACCTTATGCTGTGCATGCGTGCATCCATACATTTGTCCCGCGTGCACCGGGCTCGGTACATCATGCTAACTGCATTTGTACTTCAATTCCAAATTGAATACGTGTATCAATTGATCGCATTTCACATGCCATGTTTAGGTTAGCCGAGCCTACTCTAATTGCATCCTGTATGTGTTGCATTAGTCAATTCGACATGAACTAGGACCATGCATGTTGGCTAACTAGTTTATTGTTTTGGCACGGAGTACGATGTAAGTATTTTATGCTTTAGCATACCGCATGCGTGTGAATGCTATTATGACAGCATGCTTGCCATGTGGCTAGATGCTTATGTGATATAACTGTTTGGATGCCTGTGGGTGAAGGTTGGATTGTCTGAGTTGGAAAAAACTCGTTGAAATCCGTATTTTAGCCTACTTGCGAGTAGCAAATTCCAAAACGTTTTTCAAGATAAACGGATATGCAATGCTTATTTCCAAATTAGGCAATCTAGTCTATACTTGTTTGTTGCGCGCATAACACAGTAATTCTAGGCTAATAACTGGAACAAGAACACATAACGTTTTCAAAAACGGTCGAGAGGTCTCGAGGTAAGGCGCATAGCCGAAACCTCCAAGAACTCAAGACGAACACAAACAAGGGTAATCATCGAGTGTTCAAACAATAAGTCTTAAGGACGGTCAAAAATGGGGTGTCTACACATGAGTTCAAAAATGGTGCTCACACATGAGGCTTAAATGGCACATTTTGAAGACAACAAGGAGAGAGGGTGGCCCTCTCCTTCTTGGGACCTTAAACCACCATCCTCACCACTGAACTGACTCCCATTTAAAATATTTAGGTGGCGACTCTGTATGTGGCAAAGCAGTTCATATTTGGCACTTCTTTTCAAA